CCTGACGTACTCAACTCTGCTTTCAGAGCTGATTTCCCGTGGCCTCATCCTGGGTGCAGAAGAGGCCTCATCAAGGGTGCAGCAGGGAAGCTGTCTAGCGCTGGGCCCTCCTCTCGTGACTGGATTGACAGGCTCTGCCCAGCTCTTGCACCACGTGGCACTAAGTCGGCGTCCCGAGCAGCTTAGGTTAAAAAGAGGCGGAGTTCGTGCTGAGTCCCGTCCCAAAGCATCATGGGAGCTGTAGTTTTTCAGCGACACAGACTCGCCTATGCTTTTGTACCTCTTTCCTGAAAGACAGTAAAATAAACCATCTTCCATCAAAGTACAGTCTAAGTATTTCCGAAAGAAGCCGGGACAGGGAAAGGAACAATGCAAGAAAGGCAAACCAAAGGATGCTCGAGCGGGGAGAGAAAGGGTTAATATTTGCTACGCATGCGCACAGATGCCTGCGGGTGGGCGGGAACGAAAAGCCGACCCGGGAGAGCCGTGTTTTCCCCGGAAGTGCCTGCCCTCCTCCCGGCTCCGCGCCGTCGCGGCTCCTACCTCATTTGTCGTCGCCCCCTCCTCGTCCCTCTACGCGTCTTGGTTCCTGGTTGGTGCTTTCTGGTAGCAGCTGCAGCAGTGAGTATGTGTGTGACGGACCTAGAGTCGCCCGCGGCCGGGGTGCCTCTGCCAGCCCTCTTTTCTCTGGGTTTTGGAGTTGGCGCGTGTCTCTTCGCCTACCTCCGCGGCCACACTCTCCCCGCGCCTGGCGGCTTGTGGCCCCTCAAGCTGAGTTCGTCTGCTCCTGGCTGGGCTGACCGGCGGGGGTGTCTGCTGCCTACTGCCGGCCCAAGGCCCCAGGCCGTAGAGGGCTGACCTCCCGCGGCCTCGGTGGGGGTGGTGTTCCTGCCTATTTTGCCAAGATTTCCCTGGCCTTTGGGGAAGCCGGCCAGTTTTATCGGTAGATCCGATCGTGCCAAAAGGAATCCTGGCATGTGGGGACCGAACAGTAACTGGATCACGTACAACCTCTGCTGTCAGAAGCAGCAGCTGCAGCAGTGGATCAAAAAAATTTTTTCAGGACATGTGCCCCATTCCCGGTCTAAAGGAGCTTTGGATCATGTCCCCTAAGAAGAGTCCCTTTTCCCTCCCTTGTCCTGTGAGCCTTCAACTTTAAGGAAGCGCTCCTGGGAAACTGGCTCAAGTTAGAGGCCTGGAGTCTAGCCTATGCAGGCTTGTGACGCTCGAAATCTCTTCTTCGGGCGGTATTTACCTTTACTTCAGGTTGCATTATTGAATTAGGAGCTCTTTTGGGGTCATTTCAGCTCGTCAAAGGTTCACTAAGCCCAGTTCCCCGAATATATAAAATCAGAGTTCAATATGATAAGTCTTGGCATGTGTTTTGACTACTTACTAAATCTGTCACTTCCAAAGAGTTTAAATTGGTCAATGTGCATGAATGGAAATCGATATTTGTAGTAGAAATGTAAAACAGCATGCAGATCAAAAAGCGGGGAAGGTAAGGGAAGTGTTTCAACATAGTGTTAGTTCCCATGAAAACGACTTACGTATTCCATAAAAATTTTTGTATCAAGAACAACTGGGGCACGTCTGAATAAATTTAGCCATATATACTCCCCCCCCTCGTGTGTTCTGCTCTTGTGACTGCCAACAATTGTTTTACACTTTGAGATTCTCTGCCCCATTTAGATTTGAGCCTCAGTAGTAGTCTCATTTGAAGAATGGACGGAAGTTTTAACACCACAGTCAACTTACTTGTTTCAAATTTTTCACTATCAGAGGAGAAATTTTAAGTTGAAAATAAACGTTGTACTACCCACTTGCTAGGAAATGTGTGGCTTTACAATCAAGTAGTGGATGTAATTTAAGTCGGCCTGAGATGGATTCTTGTATCATCCAAAGGGAATTTGTTGGCTAATGATTTAATAATCATACTTGGCAGAAAAGTTAAATGGGATGTCTAGAATGACCAGTAAGCAGTGGAATTGACTTTAGAAGTTTTAGGAATTAATTTTGGAACTTAAAGGAAACCTTCAGTTACCTGGGTTTAAATTCATTTCTAATTACTTTGAATATTGAAAGCACTTATTTTCTACATCTGTTCTCTGATTTCTCGTTCATTAGATGAGTGCTGAACTAGGCTTTTAAATTCTTTATAAGAATTAACCTTTTTGGCCTTGGACTTTAGTACTAGACTAGTCTTGAGACTTGGGAGACTCTTGAATGGTAAATTAACAGATTGAAGCTGTATGCTTTTGCATCCAATTAAAATGCCTCTTAGGTTTTATACTCCACTGGCAAGTAAAATGAATAGCTGTCAGGTAACGTTAGGTGATAGAATCAGTGCAAATAAAGGACTTTATGTTGTGTTTTTTTTTTTAATCTTTATTTAAAATCTGTATGTTCTTTTATTTTGATTTTTACTTTAAAGCATTTGAGTGGGAGTTAGGGACATGTGTCCCAATCCTGGTTGTGTCCTTAAACAGCTGTGTATTCTGAGTTTTATCTTCTTGGCTCTTTAGAACTGAGTTTTCTTATCAGAGAATTGAGGTTGCAGGAGATAATCTGAATAGTCCTTTTCAGATGTAAAATTTTGTGATTTTCGCTGCACTCTTGTGTTAGCTAATTAAATATGCTTTTGATTGTGTACTGTGATCGAAGAAAAAGTCTTGAGTTAATACATATATTTAATATTCTTCTCAGAATAGACATTTTCTGAAAAATTAAATGCATCTGAATGTAATTAAAGTGGTAACATAAACCAAAACAGCCTCAGGCAAACCTTAACCCTGGCATACATAAGCTACATAAATAGAGCATGTTATGGTGAGCACAATTTTCAAGTACAGAAAGTACAAAATCCTCTTAGAGGCCATAGGGGCTAAATTGTTAAATTCATTTTCTACATTTCAGGCAAAGAGATAAACCTTTAGACCCAAGGAAGTCAGTTTTTATTATGTTTTTGTAGTTTATTTTTGGCATACACTCACAGGTGTGCCTATGGCTCTATTCTTAATCCCTTTCCTTTGGGATGGCTCCAAGAGTAGTACAAATTTGTAACTCTGTAATTTAGCGCTTTAATTTTTTTCTGTACTGCCCTGGAATTATGTTTTATCTTAAGTCCACACTGGATCCTCAGGATGGATCCAGTGAGGATTTTGAAGGATGCTTAATTCCTTTGACTTCTTTTAGAATTAATTTACCTATTAAAGAAAAAGGAAAGGATTCATCTTTTATTTGAATTCCTCTGAGGCTAACATTTCAATATAAACTGATAAATGCTATGAGCATTACTATTCAGGCAACCACATTAAACTTGTATGACAATAACAGTGTAACAACCTAAAAGACAGTAATAAAGGACCAAATAAATTATATCTTTTAGTGGAAAAGAGGTGAAACAGTTTATTACTTTATTTCAGGAAAGCAAAATAAAAATCATGGCAAGAGTACAGCACATGTTTTACTCTTGTTAATTTGGTTGTTGGGATCCTTAGATCATATCACCAAAATTCCTGTTAAAACATTCTGATATTATGGGCATAGAATTGAAAAACTGAGAAAATTATGGTTTTTTTCTCAGTTATGTCTGTATTGTTTCTCAGTTATACCTGTATTTTATAGCCAAAAGTGCAATAGAAAGAATAAATTGACTATTTTTCCAGAGCTCTCATTTTTACCAGTCTTTTAGTACTATTTGGAACATCTCCTATGTAGATCTTTCATTGATGATTTAAAACTTTAAAACTTAAATAAACATTAAATTCTTCCTCTCATACTTTCCATATGTTATGCATATTTTGTGAGATTTTTTCCAGAGCTGAAGAAAAAAAATGCCTGGTGTTAATTGATTTAGTCACCCATTAAACCCTGATTTAGTCACCCATTAAACCCACACTTGGATTAAGTGATTTTGAAGATCCCTTGTTTAACATAAGTACATAACTAGTGTAGTTCCTGCTACTTTGGGCTTTGTGATCTAATTTTGGGAGATTTACATTGGATAATTAGAACTGAGATGAATGTTTTAAAATAAGTTCTATGGAAGTCTGTAAAGGAGTCCTTATTTTACAGTCTGGTAGGTCAAGGAAAGTTCCTTCAAGGAAGTGATGTTTAACCTCAGTTGAGGGATTGTTGTGTACAATTGAGTCAGGAACCAACCCACAGCTGACCCTTCAAAAGCAGTTCATTCCACGGAGGAGATTGCCCTCCTTCTCCCACAGAGCACCTGGTGGATTAGAACTGTGTGCCTTTGGGATTACAGCTCAGCTTCTTGCCACTAGGCCACCAGAGTTTAGCAGGACTTAATATACTTACCAGACTAAAATCCCATTGTTTTGAGGCAGTTCTGACTCATAACTTCCCAAGTGCTGAGTAGAATTGCCCCACAGAACTTCTAAGGTTTTAAGTGTTAAGAGAAATGGATCACCACATTTTTCCAGAACAGCAGAGTGGCAAGTGGTTTTGAACTGCTTAGTTATCAGCTCAGTGCTTAATCACTGTATCAGCAGAGCTCCTCGAATATGCTCACAGTAGGACAGTTTTCTGCTTATGACTTATTTTGAAAGCTTTTGAGTTTTGCCTGAAATTTAGGTACTTTATTTCAGACTTGTATTTATAGTTATTTAGGTACTTTATTTCAGACTTGTATTTATAGTTATCACTGAAGTGAGGCAGATTCAGATTCTTTTTGGAAAGGAACAAAAAGCCATAAGATAATGTTTTCATTGTGGTAAAAATCTATACCAAAGCAGTAAATAGAATATTTTTTTTTATGCTGTGGACTTTGAAGTTAGAATAGTATTCGTGTATGAGAATGTGTTTTGAAAAGATGAAAGATGAATGGAAAGCTACTTAAAATATTGAATTTTTGCAGAAAATGGCAGTCTTATGCAGACATTGTCTCCAAGCGGCAATAGTATTAAGTACTAAATTGGCATGATCCAAGTTTTTAAAATGTATTTACATGACTTTGTCTTTTACAGAACCTGTTTTCCATGATGTTTGGTGGTTATGAGAGTATAGAAGCATATGAAGATGACCTTTATCGTGAAGAATCATCTAGTGAAAGTGTTGATAGTGAGGTGGAATTTCAACTCTACAGCCAGATTCATTATGCCCGAGATCTTGGTGATACTAGGGAGGAAGAACCTGAAGAAAAGGACTCAGGGGATTCTGAATCACCAAGTAGTGAACCAAATCAGAAGAACATAATTGTTCTTTCAGATAGCGAGGTCATCCAGCTTTCAGATGGGTCAGATGTCATCACGTTGTCCGACGAAGATAGTATTTATAAATGTAAAAGAAAGAATATTAGAGTTCAACCACAAGAAAAGATCAGGGGCTCTCCTGCTTTTTTTCATTCAAAGGCGTTGACTGATAAAAGAAAAAATAAGAACAATACTGAGAAGCCCAAACCTGAGGAGAGACCAGGTGTGATCAAAGAGGTCATGATTGTAGAGATCGGTTCCAGTGAAGATGAAGATAGCACCATTTCAGAGAGTGATAATGTGGAAAGCTGGATGCTACTGGGATGTGAAGTAGATGATGATAAAGATGATGATATCCTTCTCAACCTGGTTGGATGTGAAAAGCCCGTTAATGAAGGTTAGTATCATATTGGCAATTTTGAAAAGTAGTTCATATTTAATAAGGAAGACCTCTTTTTCTAGTCACCAGACCCATAGGGTCTGCCTCCAATTTATTCCACACCTTTTAGACTGCTCTAGTAATGGTTTGTTTGAACATAAAAAAGGTATATAGAATCCTAAAGACATTGTGCTTCTGCTGTGAGCAAATCATAGTTGCTTCCGTTTGGCTAGAGCCAGTTCTGGACCCAAAATACTAATTCCCCTCTCTCTCTGCTTGGTACCACAGGTGAGTACTCTCTTCAGCTCTGACTTGGCTCTTTGGTCTCATTCTGCTATTTCCAGTGAGACAACCTCTTTTGAACTATTTGCTTACACAGGCATTAGCCAGATAGCAAGCTTTGGGACTGCCTTCTGTACAGAGGATATGGAATTAGAATTTTAGGAACTCTACAGTTAGTACGGCAAGGTACTATGAAGAACTCTAAATCTATACTAACCATAGTAGAGAATACAGATTCTAAAAACCATATTGTTGAAGATTGAAGTTCAGAATTACCTTTGTCTCCTTTATTGCGTCATCGCTTAGTCTTCTTCCTTTTAGAAAAAACCAAACCAACCTCAAACCCTGACTCTCAATTTTCTCTGGCTATTACTTATGCCTAAACGCTTGAAATACTTTCCTAAATGATCTTTCTTTCCTAATAATATGGCCTACAGCTGATGTTGAAAATAGACATCTTAGGATGCCTTTGTAATTACGGGTTTTTACTACTAGTCTAAAACCTTTAGTGATTCTCTGCCACAGTGACAGTGAATGTAGCGTGTATTTTTGAGCCCCAGGTGTTGTCAAACTACTTTTTTTAAAAAAAAATATTTTTTTGTGCATGTACCGTCAGATTGGATCTGGTGCAGGAGGAGATTGTCCTTCCTTCTCCAGCACAGCATCTGGTGGATTCAAACTGCAAACCTCTGGGATTGCAGCGGGCAAACTATTTTTTTAAAGGTGCCAGATAGTAATTATAGTAGGCTTACAGGTCAAGGGAGCTCTAAGTCCTTTACTCTGCCCGTGTAATGCAAAAGCAGGCATTAATAAAATCTAAAGAAATTTGGTTGACTTTCCTAGTAAAACAGGTCCGTTAGCCTGTTCTGAGAATTTCACAGCCAAATGAAGAAAATAAATAGAATAGTAGTTAGAATATTGAGGAAGTTTAAGTCAAATTTTACTAGAATAAGATGATCTTAAGTGCCTAAATTAGGTAAAGGAGGAGAAACTTGAAAAAGTTTCTTAAACCAATTTGGGTAAGAGAGCCAGGTATTATATGAAATGAAGTGTATATGTACATTGATGAATTAGTCTTATAAAAGAAAGAGATGTACTATTAATTGCTCAGTTATCAAGACACATATAAAGGTAGGTTAGAAAGAAATTCAGGTGGATTGATACGGTGAGGCAGGTGAATGAAAAACTTAAGAGGAAGCTTTTTATTTCCCTGCAAAGTGAAAGTAATAGTGAAAGTGGGATAAGGTTAATTTGAAGTTTGGAGTGTGGGAAAAATCTAACTTAAGTGTTGTTGGAAATGGTCCTCGAGTTTGAAGAAGATGACCACTTCTCTAACTTCAAAATGAATTGGGATCTCCAGTATCTCTTGTTACATATTTAATGTGTAACATAAGTAGCAGCCCACCCTAAAACGATTTGAGTTGCAACAACAGTACTTAAGATTATGTGTATTTTTGTGTGTGTGCGCATTTTATCATTAGTAAATGTTAGGATGTAATTTGCTGATGTTACCATTCTCATGCCAACTCTTAAAGAAAAACACCTATTTGATCTGTAAAGAAATAGATGGTAAAAAGCAATAATAATGAGAACACTAAAAAAAAAACCCCAAAAAACAAAACCAAACCAGAGCTAGTCAAGCTATGCCTGAATCAACTTAAAATGAATCGTTAGAACCTCCTAAGTCAGGGATAGCTTGTATTTATTGAGGAAAAAAGTTACTATTCAGTACTTTCTCACTTACAATATATTTTACTAATCATGAAAAATATTAATACATATACTGAGAAATAGACTATATATTATGCATGTCTTTGAGGATTCATTGCAGTAACTAATTCTACAGTTCCCTAGGAGTCTGATTCTTAAATTAGAAATTGTGTTACTATATCATCACTGATAGAGAATTGATGCCTTTGAGCTGTGGTGCTGAAGAAGAGTGCTGAATATGCCATGGAGTGCTAGGAGAACAAACAGGTTTGTCCTGGAGAGGGTGAAGCTGGAATAGTCCTAGGAGTTAAGGATTTTGAAGCTTCATCTGACATACTTTGGGCATGTTGCAAGGAGAGACTGTTCCTTGGAGAGGGACATCATGTTTGGGAGAGTAGAGGACGTTGCAGGAGAGGAAGACCCTTGATGAGATGGATTGATTCTGTGATTGAGGTGGTGGGAATGAGTGTGTTTGAGACAGTGAGGTTGGCACAGGGTAGAGCAGCATTTAGGGCTCTTGTACATAGGGTCACTATGAGTCACAAGCGACTCGATGGCACATAATAGCAACAATATCATCACTAATGGAATAAAAAGATTGCTTAGGAGTAGTATCATGTCAAAATTAAATCAAATGATTCTGCTTTACTCTTAAGATCATAGAAGGTCAAAACAAACACTTAAAACTCTGATTGCTTGAGATCACATCTCACTTTTTCAATCACTTTGATGTCCTTGATAATCAGATTGGAATCTTTTTCCCCCCTGCTACCTCATAGTGAATTACATGGTAGATTGCTAATCAGAAGATTGATGGTTCAAATCCCTCAGCTGTTCTACAGGAGAGAAACAGTCTCCAGTAAAGAGTTATAGCCTTGAAAACCTACTGGAGGGGTGCCACAAGTCGGAATCAGTTTAGTATTTGTTCTTGAAATGTCACTTCCCCATGTCTACTCAGTTATTTGTTTACATAATCTACAATAATTTCCAATTAACATATTAAAAAGCTTAGTAAATTGAAAGACAGATTTGTTAGCCTTTAGAGGAGAGATTTCCTGGCTTTATCTTTTCACTAAAGAATCTGCAGAGATGATGATGATAGGATGTCAGTAGGCTGAGGAAAGTGTGAATTAAATGCTAATTTAATGAGGAACTTGCACCTGTGTTTACAGGTATGTTAAATGATGCTTATGGTAGAGTGGAATGACCATAGATGATGGACATTAGGTGACACTGGAGTGGGGGTGATAGTGTAAGGGAAGGATAGGGGAACAGTCTACTCAACTGGAATTAATAAAATTTTCCTAAGAGAGAATTATTATTGGTAGCTTGATAGTGTAAGCAAAGGTGCATTTCAGTTAAAATGGAGGCATGTGGTATTAATTTAGAAATGGATTGTAAAGAAACAGTCCTAAAGAAACTAAAGCATAGTTTGTGCTGATTTATTATTAGGTACCTTTGAGTCAAGTACGACTAACAGTGAATCTGTGAATAACCAGTCTGAACAGTGTCCTATCCTGTGCCATCCTCACAGTCTCTGACAAACTCAGGTCCATTGCTGACATCACAGTGTCAGCCTACTTGGTTCAGGGTCTTTCTCTCTTTCACTGGCTACCTTCCTAAGCATGATGCCCCTCTCCAAGGATTAATCTCTCCTACCAACATACTTGAAATGTGTGAGATGAAGCTTCATCATCTTTGCCTGCTGTTGCTAGATGCTATTAAGTTGGTACTTAGTGACTGTCTGTACACAGAATGAAACACCACCAAGTCCTGTACATCCACTTTGTTGTTGATACATTTGAGTCCATTATTGCAGTCCTTTTTACTGAGGATGTTCCTCTCTTCTGTTGATTTCCTACTTTGGTGTTTTCCCCCAGGGACAGGTCCTTCCTGATAACATGTCCAAAATAAGTCAACTAAAGTCTTGTTGCTTTTAAGCACTTAAAGATTCTTGATAACAGATTTGCCCCATTGAATATGTCATTTAATTTCTTCACCGCTACTTTCATATTCATTGGTTGTGGATCTAAGTAAAATGGAATCTTTTACAATGTCAACATTTTCTCCATGAATTACAGTGTTGCTTATTGGTCTAGTTGTGAGGTTTTTTAATTTTCTTTATGTTGAGGTGATAAATTGGAATGAGTTAGTATAATCAAAGTGAAGTCACTAGTGCTAAATTAAAAATGACTTTCTGAGTTAATATAGAAATTACTTTGCAAACCCTGAAGACATTGAAAGATTTTGAACAAGAGAATAACATATTTACATTTTTATTTTAGAATTTTGGTGACTGAAGATTGAGTTGTAACACTGTAGTTTGACAGTGTGGTAGTGAGGTGTAGACCTAGACCTTCCGTTATAATCTGGGCTAAAATTGATGAGGATAAAATTATTCGAGGTATCAGTGGTGGGAATGTTGTTGTTGTTAAGTGCCATCAAGTTGAGTACAACTCATAGCGACCCTATGAACAAAAGATCTGACGCCAGTCCTGTCCTGCGCCATCCTCACACTTCTTGACACACAAGAGCCCATTGCAGCAGTCACCATGCCAGTCCACCTAGGTGAGGGTCTTTCTCTCCTTTGCTGACCTCCAGCCTTCCCAACATTATGCCCTTCTCCAAGGAACAGCACCTCCTAGCAATATGTCCAAAATATATTAGGTGAAGCTTCATCATTCTTATCTCCAAAGAGCACTCTGGCTGTACGCTCTCCAAGACATATCTATTCATTTACTTGGTTGTTTGTGGAATGTTCAGTGCTCTTCTCCAACACCACAGCTCGAAGGCATCAGTTCTCCTTCTGTCATCCTTATTCATTGTCCAGGTTTCAGATGCATAGCTAGTAATCGGAAAGACCATGGCCTGAATCAGATACACCTTTGTCCTCAAACTGACATGACTTCTCCTCAATAAATTGGAGAGGTCCCTAACTGCAGATTTTCCCACTGCAATGCATATTATTTCCTGACTCCTAGTACCATGGGTGTTAATTGTGGATCTAAGCAAGATGAAGCTGTTGA